CTGGATTATTTGTTTTTTGGGTGTTGAATTTGATAAGTTCTTTATAGATCTTGGATACTAACCCTTTATCTGATATGTCGTTTACAAATATCTTCTCCCATTCTGTTGGTTGCCTTCTGGTTTTGCTGATTGTTTCCTTCATTGTGCAAAAGCTTTTTATTTTGATGAGGTCCCAATAGTTTATTTTTACTTTTGTTTCCCTTGCCTCCAGAGACCTGTTGAGTTGCTGTGGTCAAGATCAAAGAGGTTTTGCCTGCTTTCTCCTTGAGGATTTTGATGGCGTCCTGTCTTAATTTTAGGTCTTTCATCCATTTTGAATTTATTTTTGTGTATGGTGTAAGAAAGTGGTGCAAGTTCATTTTTCTGCATGTTGCTGTCCAGTTTTCCCAGCACCACTTGCTGAAGAGACTGTCTTTATTCCATTGGATATTCTTTCCTGCTTTGTCAAAGATTAGTTGGCCATACGTATGTGGGTCCATTTCTGGGTTGTCTATTCTGTTCCATTGATCTGAGTGTTTTTGTGCCAGTACCATACTGTCTTGATGATTACAGCTTTGTAATACAGCTTGAAGTCCATAAAAAGGTATTCTTGAAGCTTATTTTCCATTAAGTACTGCTCTACCAGTTATACTGAAGATGTATTCATAGTGGTTTTTGTAATTCTGTGTGTTTTGAAATTTTGTCATTGCCTCCTTTCTCCCACTCCTGTTTTTCCTTAATACTTTTTACTTTTTGATCAATTCCCAGTATGTAGCTAAACTCCAGTTACCACCTCCTCCCTTACATTAATTCCTTCCTCACTTCACCCAGGTTACAATACCTGTGCAAAGCATCTTGCTGCATGGAAGTCCTCAACTTGCTTGGCCTTGTCCCTCTGCCAGGATGGCTTCCTTATTCTACTCAGGCTCCTGCACTTTGAATTGGGCTGCCCTCCTACTAGGACTTTTGCCTTACGTTTCCTAACAGGAAACAGCAGGCTCTGACATTCTTCACTGGGCTGCTGCCATACACACATTACCCTATCTTCCACCCTTCGTGGACACACTTCACATCCTGATTAGGCCCCAGCACCCTGACATGGGCCCCTGCCATAGATCTATAGATCTGACCTTGCTTGACCCCACCTAATGACTTTGGACAGGATCTTTTCAGGAGGGGGAAGGACAATGGGAACTGCATAAGAATGTCATTTTCTAAGTTTAATACAGTATGGTTAGAGAACATAGAATGTTTTATTCTTTGGAGTCTTCTAGCTAGTATAAGGTCAGTTTTTATGACTTCTATGTGTACTGAAGGAATATATATACTCTGGGTGATTGGGGGGTGTGTGTGTGTGTGTGTACGTTATAAGTTGCATTCAAATCTTTTTTTCTTAATGTTTGTTTAATTTTGAGAGAGGGAGAGAGAAGTGGGGGAGGGGCAGAGAGAAGGCAAAAGAGAATCCCAAGCAGGCTCTGCACCGTCAGTGCATAGCCCGATGCGGAGCTCAAACTCTCGAACCATAAGATCATGACCCAATCTGAAATCAAAAGCTGGATGCTCAGCCGACTGAGCCACCCAGGTGCCGCTGCACGCCCATCTTTTACATAACCTTTTTTTTTTTTTAATATATGAAATTTATTGTCAAAATGGTTTCCATACAACACCCAGTGCTCATCCCAACAGGTGCCCTCCTCAATACCCATCACCCAATACATAACTTGCTGTATGCTTGTTCTGTTACTACTGTTTCAAGTATTTTAAGTATATAAAAAGTGTAGAGAATGGTGAACACATAGAGATTGGGGAGAGTGGTGCACCTGCAGAGAGCTTAGAAGCTCTGCATACTTTCATCACCTTATGCATGTCTTCCAGCTGGCTGTTGATTCATATCCTTTATCATATTCTTTTTTTTTTTTTTTCAACATTTATTTATTTTTGGGACAGAGAGAGACAGAGCATGAACGGGGGAGGAGCAGAGAGAGAGGGAGACACAGAATCAGAAACAGGCTCCAGGCTCTGAGCCATCAGCCCAGAGCCCGATGCGGGGCTCGAACTCACGGACCGCGAGATCGTGACCTGGCTGAAGTCGGACGCTTAACCGACTGCGCCACCCAGGCGCCCCTATCATATTCTTTAATAAGCTGGTAAATTTAAAAAAAAAAAGTGTAGAGTGAGTAGTGATGTATGTATCACTCACTTTAAGAAATAAAGTATTACAGATGTAATTAAAGCCATCCAAGTCCTCTTTTTGATTCCTTTCCTTTCCTCACAGAGGTATTTACTGCCCTGAATTTGGTATTTCCTATCCCCGTGAACTTAAAATAGTAGAGCAAGGCTGCCAATTTATTATATGAGAAATATCCTCCAAAACTAGACTTTGTACCAGTGTAGACCAGAGTTGCCTACAGATGCAAGCCTCCTCTTATATCAAAAAATTTTTATCTAGCCCCTGGAAGAATGATGGGAATTTGCCAAAGAAATATTTGTGTTCTCTCTTACAGTATATCGTAAGTCAGAGCCTAAGAGCCTAAGTCTCTCAGTTGATAACTAGGTATCTAAAAATATGTATCATATATCAGGAATACTATGACAGATGTCTTATTTTTAAGGATCAAGCTGTGGTTGGTATTAGTTGATGACTGTGGTAATAAGCAAGTTATATGGCTTTTTGATTACTTAGAGCAAGTTATTCTCATGTAGGAGAGAAAATGTTAGCTCTAACAAACTTTGATAGCTAATTACAGGTATGGTTATATAAAACAACAGACACTGTTCAGCTGACTTGTCTAAAATCCTTAAAAGAATTATAGCCAGTTATTTTGTTGCTATAGGCGGTGACACATTAAATTAATGTCAAAGTTGGACCTAAAAGTTTTAACTACTAATACCTTTTATTGATTGATCATTTGACTGTGTCTCATTTTAGCAATTATATGTAATAATGATTTTGCCTCTTGTGATACAGTGTTATTTTGCTTTTTCACTTATAGTGATAGATTCCTGTGGCCTTTAAATGATTGAAAAATGATGGAAATGGATCCAAAATAAAAAGTGACTACTCTACTGAAGCAGTAGAAGATTCTTCATAGTACCCTCCAGCTCAGTTCAGTCTTCAGGAGAGGCAGAACAAGTGAAATACAGCAAACTGAAGAGAGAAAAACCTCAGCATTGGAACTGTTTTACTCCTTAACTACTCCTTAACTTCTTTCCTTCTGCTTGTTTTAATTTTGCTGTGAATTTGTAAATAGTGAAGACCAAAGAAATAGAAGATACATTTGGGAGCTTTATATAACAAAGAAATTTGCCTTGAGAGCTGCTATTCTTTAGAGGGAAACATATATCAAGTTCTTGTCTGATTAAAAACAAACAAGATTTCTTATGCCCTTAGATTTTGAATATTAAAACAGATATAAATATCTGCATACTTTTTAGCAGCTGTGTAGGAATAATGAGATTTGTAAATTAAGGACTTTGTCATGTGGATGTTTTGCCTTTAGAATTGATTGTTCAGAAGATCTTTTATAACTCTTTAATGTTATATTTTTGACTATTGCTTTGATGGCATTATTTGCCCACACATGAGTTAACCTGTCTTTCTAGCTATGACCTTGTTATGAACAGTGTTTGCACTCAATGTGCAGATGTCCATGTATTATCTATTTAAACAACATCATAGTGCCGTCACTCAAGGAAGTTGAATGAGGTGAACGTAGGCACAGCTCTTTCCCCTTCCCCCCATTTTTTAAATGTAACAAATACTTTTTATGTTCCCCTTCCCCCTTCCCCTTTCCCTTTCCCCTTTTTGGAAACGTGTCAGGAATTAGATAGTTAAAGATGAGCAATTGAGGGGACTGAGAGTGATCCACACAGAGTCTGGCTTCCTTGTGCTTTATCACAAGGCGTGCTGCTGGCCAGCCTATTTAAGCACCCTTTTAACAAGACAACCTCGTGGGAAATCCAGCTGGCAGACTCAAGGAGTTTGGGAAACAGGACCACAGAGGTTACACTCTGGGGTAAATATTCTCCTATATCTAACTTTGGAAGAAGACTGTGTATGTATCTGTATCATGGAAAATACATACTGTTTTCTGGTGTATTTAATTTTGGAGATCTTTAGTGGGATGGTTTAGAGACACCAATGGATCTCTTAGGAAAACTGATGCTAGTGGGTGTTGGAGGAAATTAATGTGAACTAAATAGAATAACTTTTTTTGTTGTTTAATGTTTATTTTTGAGAGAGAGAGTGTGAGTTGGGGAGGGGCACAGAGAGAGGGAGACACAGAATCTGAAGCAGGCTCCAGGCTCTGAGCTGTCTGCACAGAGCCTGACACGGGGCTCGAACTCACAAGCTGTGAGGTCATGACCTGAGCCGAAGTTGGACACTTAACCCACTGAGCCACCCAGGCACCCCAAGAATAACTCTTTGAGAGATTGCATCTTCCTTCTCTAGGAAGGTCTTTTCTACTGCTTTTTCACAATTTGCCTGAGTACCTGAAGCAGGTTAATCTTTTCATGAGAATCAGTAGTTTTAAGTAGGTGTTCATTCTTTTTGGTTTTTTCAAACCTTTCGCTATTTGTTTTTAAAATGTTTATTTTTTGAGAGCAAGGAATCCCAAGCTGGCTCCACACTGTCAGTGCAGATCCCGATGCAGGGCTCAAACTCATAAACCGTGAGATCATGACCTGAGCCAAAACCAAGAATCAGATGCTTAACTGACTCAGCCACCCAGGCACCCCAGGTGTTTAATCTTAAGGTTCTTCTCATAAAACTCAAGAATTCATAACCTTCCAGGTTTATGTCACCTTTTTCTGTTCATGTGTTTTTCATACTCATATATTCATGGACTGCTGCTCCTGTTTAGAACTTTGAGGTATGTCTGATAAGTAGTCTTAGAGAGGCTCAGAGGGTAGGTCTTTTTATAAAGAGAGGATCTTAGAGTAATCAGATTCTTTTGTACATTGGTATCCAGGTCTTGCAAGCATAAGTGATTAGAGTTTTCTCATTTTCAGATCCTGGCCATGAGGTTGGATGCCTCACCTTGCTGAAAAGAGACACTGGACCTAAATGGCGCAGCATGACTTTGTTCCTGCTTGGCTAAATTTCTCAACACCACAGTCAGCTAAGGTACTGTTCTTCATTCCTATAGTAACTTTCCAAATAACAGTTTTATCCCCAACTTGTTGACAGCCTCTCTTTTACAGTCTAAGTGTTTTTTGTATATATAGCCTTGCCTGAGGGTTTAAAGTGTGTTTTCATCAGCTTACCACATTTCTTTTAATAGGATATAAATAATTAGGCAGTCTAAGTCAGTCAGTGTGTGCCCTGCCACTGCCAAGTGTGTCTCCCCACCCACCCCCCATTTTTCATTACATGCTAAGCTTTTCTCATGTGGCACACAAGATTTCCTGGATTAGGTGCACTACACTTTGGAACTAAAACATATTTGCTTACCTATTATTTAGGTACAAAGGGGCAGGGGTAATGGGGAAATGTTTTTTGGGGGAAATGGACCTTTGGAATGAATGTATATTTGTGTATAGTAACAGATGAGAAGGAAAAGGGAGAGGCATTGATTGACTACTATGTGGATCTCAGATTAAATCTTAGAAATTTTCCTTTAGGGGCACCTGGGCGGCTCATTTGGCTGAGCGTCCAACTTCAGTTCAGGTGATGATCTCACAGTTTGTGAGTTTGAGCCCTGCATTGGGCTTGCTGCTGTCAGTGCAGAGCCTGCTTCAACTTTTCTGTCCCCCTCTCTCTGCCACTCCCCTGCTCACACTCTCTCTCCCAAAAATAAATATTAAAAAATAGAAACTGTTTTAGAGATAATAATCTGCTTAACGATTTCAGGGGAAAATGTGTGTTGAATTAGGAATAAAGACAAATGAAAACAGCCAGTTCATATGAAGTAAAGTAGTCCTAGTCACAGTACACAGAAGAACAGCCTAAATTATTGATAAAAGAAACCTTTGGGAAGTTAATAAACTTAAAAATGCTTCCCAAGGAGGGACAAAGTTGATTGGTAATCTCAAAAAAAAAAAAAAAAAAAAAAAAAAAAAAGGCCCATCTTCCCTATTTTTAAATGTGATTTTTGGGACAGATACTCCTTATCTGCCTAGACCCACAACCTTTTTCTCTGAACTTCATTTTGAATTGCCCTTTTGAAATTCCCAAGATCTCATAATTGGCATAATTTTGACCCAAAGCTTGGGGATGGTGGGTCTGAGGGAGTAGGTGTGAGATCCAGGAAAGCATTTAAAAGTATGTAGATCTTATCTGCAAAGATAATCTAGCACAGTGAAGTAAGTAAAAAGAATTGGGAAATATGGTTTGACTGTTGCCAGTAAAGTTACAATAAACAAAGTTGTGTAGCATTGGCATAAGCATAGACATAAAGCAATGGAATAGAATATTCAGAAATTGTCCTGTAGGTATAGTCAGTTGATTTTTTTTACTAAAATGCCAAGGTAATTTAATGTAGAAGTGATAGTCTTTTTAGGAAATGGTTCTAGAACTGGATATAAATGGGGGGGGGGGGTGAGAACCTTGACTTCAACCTTCATATCACACACAAAAATTAGCTTGAAGTGGATAATAACCTAATTTAAAGAGCTAAAAGCCATAAAACTTCTGGAAGAAAGGAGAAAAATCTTTGTAACCCATTAGAATTGGCTAAAATAAGCAATACTAACAATACCAAGTGTTGGTGAGGATATTAATAATAAGAAAATAAATGCAAAGATATCTGTGCCCCAACCTGTAGTTTTCCTCTAAGCCTTTGTCAAATATATCCATATTTTCCACAACTTCTTAGACTTTGTTCTCTCATTGGAAACTAAAGAATGTTCTAGAATAAAATTATTTGGAATAGGGAGGGAAATGAGAGTTCATCTGTATTTCTCAAACTGCTTCCTTTTCATGATGTAACCGCAAAGACTTATTTTCCCTGACCTCTTTCTTCATGTGTAAATGAGTAAAATGAGAATGATGCCAAATTATAGTACTGTTATGAATATTAAGTGACATTCAGAACTAAATGTTTTATAAAACTATAAAAACTGTGTAGGTGTTAATGGCCTCAAGGTGATGTGGTATTTAAACCATTTCTTTCTCTCCAATTCTAGAATAACTTACGGAAGTAATAAAGCTGTTTAGGATTTAAAAATAATTGTTTTAATGTTTATTTTATTTTTGAGACAGAGCATGAGTGGGGGAGGGCAGAGAGAGAGGGAGACAGAATCCGAAGCAGGCTCCAGACTCTGAGCAGTCAGTACAGAGCCCGAAGCAGCTCTCGAACTCACAAACCATGAGATCATGACCTGAGCCAAAGTCGGACACTTAACCAACTGAACCACCCAGGCGCCCTGAGAATTTTTGAAAGCAAGCTTCTTTTCCTTTCCTGTTGCAATATTAACTTAATATCTTTAAGTGTAAAGTTGGAGGTCTTATTTATGGATATCAACAGGGTTTTTGTTCACTCTCTCATGCAAATAAATGAGTATCTCTCCCCTTCTGGAATATAGAAAATGAGTTAATGATTGAGTATGTAACCTAGGACTTCTCTAACTCATGGGCCTATAGTACCCTTATTATGGCCCGTATGCTCATAATGGGGTTTCTGCCAGTGTTACTTGTTTTCTAAAAGGCTGATGGCGAAACCTAAGATACTGAGATTGATATCTTAACTGTTTGCTTCTCTGTACTTTATCATCTTAGTCACCTACAGCCACCTTCGAAAAACACGGAGAACACCTACCCCGAGGAGACCGTAGATTTGGAGTAAGCCGTCGTCGACATAATTCCTCTGATGGCTTTTTTAACAATGGACCTCTACGAACTACAGGAGGTAAGCCATGCCCAACTTCCATGACTATATTTAAACTACTCAGAGCAAGCCCACATTGAGGGATGCAAGTCTGTCCATAATCTTGAAATGATGATGTTTTTTAAACACATTTTTCAATTAGATCTCCTATTGTCATTATTCAGTTACATTGGCTTTCTAACATTCTTGTGTTCTCCTATGTCATTTATTTATTTGGAAGATTTCGTATAGAAATTACATAAAAGATGTATTTTGTGATTTCTTTTTTGTGGGCTTAATCTTTTATTTATTTGTTTGTTTATTATTTTTTGAGGGAGGGAGAGAGCAAGTGGAGGAGGGGCAGAGAGGGAGATAGAGGATCTCAAGCAGGCTCCATACTGTTAGTGCAGAGCCCGATGCAGGGCTCGATCCCGCGAACTGTGAGATTATGACCTGAGCCGAAATCAAGAGTCAGATGCTTAACTGACTGAGCCACCAAGGTGCCCCTTAATCTTTTATTTTTATTTTAAAAGATCCCCTAAAGTGCTTTTGGTAGTACTGTAAATCAGCTCAGGAAGCAAAAATGTAATGTGTTACTTTTCCTTACTATTCCAGATTCCTGGCACCAGCCCTCCCTGTTCCGCCACGATTCTGTGGACTCTGGTGTCTCTAAGGGAACATATGCTGGAATCACAGGGAATCTATCTGGTTGGCATGGCTCCTCCCGAGGTCATGATGGCATGAGCCAGCGTAGTGGGGGTGGCACAGGGAACCATCGCCACTGGAATGGCAGCTTCCACTCCCGGAAAGGCTGTGCCTTTCAGGAGAAGCCACCTACAGAGATTAGAGAAGAAAAGAAAGAAGACAAGGTGGAAAAATTACAATTCGAAGAGGAAGACTTTGTAAGTATCAAAGTGTAGATGTTTAATTAAAACCTAACAATGCCATAAATATAAGACCCTGTTAATAATAAGAATATTGAAGAGATTGCTAAAAAAGGAAGTCCCTAAATTTAGATTTTTATTGTTTTTAGATGGAGTTGATTAGTATGAAGATAATGACCAAAATTCCTTTTTTTGTTTTTTTTTTTTTTAATGACCAAAATTCCTATGTAACTTTTGGCACATCATCATGTTTTTCATCTTTATGCCTTCAAAACTTTAAAAAGTTCCTAATTTCCTTTGTTTTATAAGGTTTAACATTCAAAATTCAGTATTCAAATTATGTAAAAATGGTCTTGCATGTTAAATTGTCTTTCTCCATTTATCGTAAGAGGTCTTTTTCTCTTGATTTTTCCCTCTTATATAAAATAATTGTGATGTTATAAATATGCAGTTGTGAGTATTTAAGCTCCTTCCTATATATAAGTAAAACTTTGCTATTGTGTGTTGAATTAATATGCCTTTTGGCCTTTCAACCTAAAGTAGAGTTTTTAGTGTGCCTTAAAAAAAAAGTCGAGTATATTTTATTTAACAAAATATATCTAAATTATTAACATTTTAATATGTAATTGATATCTTTAAATTATTGAGATAATTTATGTTATTTTTTGTACTGGATCTTCAAGATCCTTTGTGTATCCTCTACTTGTTTGTAGTATAATCTCAGTATAAATGACACACTTCCTGAATGCTCAACAACTACATGTAGGTAGTGGCTACCATATTGAACAGCGCAGCTCTAGTTATTTATTTATTTTTATAATTTATCTTTTTGAGAGAGAGAAAGTGCAAGTGGAGAGGGGCAGAGAAACAGAGAGGGAAAATCCTAAGCAGGCTCTACAGTGACAGTGTGACAGTCTAACACAGGGCTCAAACCCATGAACCATGTGATTGTGACCTGAACCAGAAGTCGGACGCTTAACCAGTTGAGCCATCCAGACGCCCCTAGTCATTTTTAAGTAGCACATTCAATTAGCCAGTCACTTCTGTGACAGCCGTTTTAATATATTAATAAGGCCAACTGATTAAGAGTCAAATTTAGGTGTCATCTCCTCTTTTCCCAAGTCTAGCAAATGTTCTGGGGTCATTTTATCTTAGTTTTTCTAGATTTCTTTTTAATGTTTATTTATTTTTGAGAGAGAGAGCACGTGGGCAGGCAGGGGAGGGGCAGAGAGAGAAGGAGAGAAAGAATCCCAAACAGGCTCTGTGCTGTCAGCACAGAGCCGGATGCAAGACTCCATCTCAGGAACCATGAGATCATGACCTGAGCCAAAATCAAGAGTCAGATGCTTAAATCTACTGAGCCACCCAGAGGCCCCATTCTGGGATCCTTTAAATGTTATTTTTTAATGTGAATTCCTACCCCAGGCACCTGTTCTTCAAAACTTTATTTGTGAAAGGTTTATACTTCCCTGACGTATTGAATATTTGTCCAGAATGTTCTAAATATTAAGTGGTGCAGACTTATGACACTAAATGATAACTTTCATTATTTATTCAATAAATTTAGCAAATATAAGAAAGACTAGTGGGAAAGATTAATAAAAACCTCTGTTGCTCATCATGCTTTGGGAAAGTCCTCATCAAACTAGCAATGACAAAAAACTTTGGGGCACCTGGGTGTCTCATTTGGTTAAGTGTCCAGCTCTTGGTTTCAGCTCAGGTCATGATCTCATGGTTCATGGGTTTGAGCCCTGCATGAAGCTCTGCACTATCTGCACTTGGGATTCTCTCTCTCTCCCTCTCTGTCTGCCCCTCCCCCATTCCTGCTGTCTCTCAAAATAATTTTTTTTTAACTTTAATTGTATTCCTATTATAAAGTATTTCTTTTTGTATTTTATTCCACATAATTAAAAACCGCTTTTTTTAATGCTTATTTAGAGAGAGAGCTAGCAGGGGAGAGGGCAGAGAAAGAATCCCAAGCTCAGTGTGGAGACCAATACGGGGCTCAATCCCACTACCATGAGATTATGACCTGAGCTGAAATCAAAAGTTGAACGCTTAACTGACTGAGCCACCCAGGCATTCCTCCACATAATTAAACTAACCCACTATAAAATTGTAATTTATATATGACTTGAATGTTTATTTAGAAGTATGTCTTACATTATGACCATAGCCAGCAGAGCATATAGTAAAGAAGTTTATTTGGGTCTCTTTATTAGTTTTGTTTTTGCTTGCTTTGGTAAAAAAGAGACTGCAGCAAACAAGAAATGTGGGGTAAAGTGGAAGTTGCTT